GCGCCGGAAGACGATGATGACGATGATGACGGGAAAAGTCGCGGAGTAAGCGGGACCGAGGATCTCTCGCCGTATTGTCGTTCACTGTCGTAAATATACAGCACACTCGGACCGAAAGAGTGCGCCGGAAACGGACGACGACGATGATGACGGGAAAAGTCGCGGAGTAAGCGGGACCGAGGATCTCTCGCCGTATTGTCGTTCACTGTCGTAAATATACACGCGACGATGCACACTCGGACTTACTTACCCTCAGCTTCAGCCATGTTAGTCGTTAAGGGAAACACTGGTCGTTATGGGAACGCACACCGTGCGTCATCGAGCTCTTCTCCACAGTTTGAAGTAGGGATCATATACTTTTTTCAATCTTTTTGCAATATTCACCATTTAAATCTGGAATATAAAGGAATTGTTATACTCTCTTTTATATAAAATTAAGAAATTAAAAAAGACACGTGAAAAAATTTCCAAATTTGCTTTTGATCTTCAAAATACAGATTACGTATGTTAAATAAATTGTACGCTTTTAAAATTAAGAAAATTAATTCACGATTAATCGGAATATTCTCAAGAAATCACATCTCTCATTTATTACTTTTACTTATAATTTAAGATTATTATCATCACGCTAATTTAAATCCGTTCTTATATTTTTTTTTTTGGACATTTGTCTAAAATGGATATGTACCATGTGCTGAATGTCAGATTTTGACATTTGTCATTCAAAGACGTGTGTGTTTAAGCTGTTTTCGTCACAACATGCGCACCTAAACGGTAACATAATATATCTATATTTGTTAACTGCACTATGTTGCATTTTATGAAATCACGAGAAATTGTGGACAGATTTAAAAAGAATTACAATAGATATGATGATAAACATTCCTCCATAATTAGTGAAATTCTTAAAGACATGAAATATTCAAATATATTAATATAATTATATGTATATAAAACGCATATATTAAATTTTATATTTCAATAAGATTTTAAAATCTTTTTTATAGCGTTTAAAGTTTAAAGCATTGTTCCTGTCATTTCCAAGATCATACAATATTTTACTACTTTTACCATTAAAATCTTATTGATAACATAATATTAAGAGATTTCTTCGTTTAAAATTTCGCGGGCTTACGACTAAATAATACGTCACTTATCATCATAATGATAATTAACCTTTATCAACGATAACCACTTTACTATACTTTGTGGACTAAGTGACATTAATGTATATCGGCATCGAATTTCAAATGCCTGATATATCTATTTGATTGACCTAAATCTTTTAGATGGAATAAGGTATAGCATCGTAACAAAATGATAGCCATCTGGAGATTCTTGATGAAAAATGATCCCACTGTTTCTCAGGTATTTTATGCTTTAATTATATATATTTAATTCATGCTGCATAAATATATAACAGTTGTATGTGTAACTATGTGTTGATTGATAAATGTGATTATTTGTGACTACATATATTGCTTCGCGTATTACAAGATTATATTTCTATTTTGTTTGCAACGAATATATTCCACTTGATATTACAAATGCTTCAAAGTGTTTGAATCGAACGATTCGAAGTCTTTGTAACGCCAAGTAAAATCCCTCTCAAAAGTCGCGCTTGCCCGAAGATGTTGACTCGAATCAACTCGAATCAAACAAACCGCGGGAACAATTTAAATAATACGCAGAAGCAAATTTTACAAGCTAATTTTGTAATGCCATCAAAAATCAATAATTTTAATCAATGACTTGATGTTATTGAATGATGCAGGGAATAAATATTACAAGAACGTTATCTACCGAAAGAAAATATGTGGAGACGACGGAAAAAGATGGGGTAAAAAAATATTGAACTATTTATCTTCAAATATTAATTACAAATGCTACTTCTTTTTATTTGGAGGAATTAAATCAAATTAATATTTTGAGAAACGTAATTCAAACTTATTGTAACTTTTATATAAATTTGATTTTTATTATTTAAGAATACCTCAAGAGAGAGGGAGAGAATTTAAATATTAATAATTTCTATTTATTATATATATTATTTGTCTTTACTAGATATTATTAGCCTCACCTTATTTCAGATCAGAACTATCCGTTTGAGCGATTCTGCCTCGCGTAACTCTCTATCGTTAGAGATGTTAAAGATTCTGCTAAAAGAGATCAAAAGAGACGAGGACAACAAGGATCTTCGATCGATCCTATTGATATCCGACTCTGGAAAAGTGTTTTCCGCCGGACACAACCTGAAGGAACTGGTTTGTAGGATTCCATTTCCATAAGACTTCTTTATATTCATTATATAGGAAAATCATTAGTTTGCGTTTTAGACAGCTACCAACGCTAAATTCCACAAGGACGTGTTCGAGACCTGTGCAGAACTCATGCGGACCATTAGTCAGAGCCCGGTGCCGGTGATCGCGGCGGTGGACGGTTTGGCAGCTGCAGCTGGTTGTCAGTTGGTCGCGGCATGTGACATCGCGGTGTGCACGGAAAGAAGTTCCTTTTCCACTCCAGGGTACTTTGCAAATAGCTTGTCTCATTACTTATTATCCTTTTGGCCATTATCCTGTAAAAATTACTATTTTTATTAGTACCATTATATTTACTGTTAATTGCTATATTTTCATTATATCAATAATCACTATTATTTCATTATATTAATATTATTATTATTATTCGGTAGGGCAAATCTCGGGATATTTTGTTCAACTCCGGGTATACCGCTGGTGCGCAACGTGCCAAGGAAGAGCGCGATGTATATGCTCTTCACGGGACTCCCTATTTCCGGCAGAGAAGCTTATGAGTGCGGTCTCGTTAGCAAAGTCGTGCCGAATGACAAGCTCGGTGAGTTACTATAAATTACTGCATGCGTTTACCTAATAAATTTTACACCTGAGTGATTTTCTTACTTTGATTTTAGACGAGGAAGTTCACCGAATTATAGATGCTATCAATGCGAAGAGTCGCTCGGTCATACACCTTGGCAAAACGTTCTTGTACGAGCAAATGGATCTTGATATATCGACGGCATATTTTCTTGGCACTGAAAAAATGGTAAACAATCTAAAGATGAAAGATGCGCAGGAAGGGATACGAAGTTTTTTAGAAAAAAGGAAGCCGGATTGGTCACATGATTACGAGAAGAATTAATTACGTCAATATTGACGTAATATAACATTGACTCATAATATTATGCGCGACTTTATCGTTTGTATTTTTTTCTTTCATCAAAAACAGATTACGAAAACTATCATACTTAATATAACATCTCTTTATACACGAGATTTTTTACAATTGATATTAGCCATGTAATTTTTTATGTATAATATAATTTTAATATTTTAATAATATAAGTTTTTTGAAAGAAATATGTTTCGTATATTACATCCTTTTAAATCAGTAATATTCTTAGCCTGGTTTACTAATCACACATAGAATGTGAATCTAGATATGATAATTAAGCAATATAAATATCAAAGTTAATTTTTGACAAAAGTAATTGTCAAATTATTCATTAAAAGATTATTTAGAAGTTTTTATTTTATGATAATTCCAAAATCTTCCGCTACTTAAGATCGTAAATATTTGAATATTGCACAATTTTTCGAAGAAAATGCTGTTGTATTTTGAAAGATATTGACGGAATCTGAATCTACAAACAATATTCTCAATTGTATTTATCGATTGTTATTGTTTGTTTGGTTTTCAAATAACTGACAATGAATTGTACGAGATCAGATTAAATCTTATGTAATATAATTAAAACGAATAAAATTGTTGTCACGTGCAATTTTGATTTTACAATTTCAAAAAACAATATATCTCTCGTGTGAGATAACCCCACAGAAGAAAAATAAACATAGGAACATATAGTGAATCATATAAATGAGCTAGATACACAATACAATTATCAAATGTAGCAAATGTACTTACAATGTTGATCAGAGGAAAAATTAACTGAGAATAATATGAAACTTCGATTTAATTTTAATTAAAACTAAGTTCGTACTTTTGTCATAGAAAAAAACAGAAAAAAGAGAGATTAATTAAAGAAATATTAGTTAATTTTTTAAAGTTTTATAATTCATCAAAATTGAAGCAATTATATATACTAATTATGTAATATATATATATATTATAATATAGTAAGATAGTAATTATTAATATAAATATTATTAATTATTAGTATATTAATATAGTAATTATTAATGTACATGTACGATTATATTAAATTTATGTTATAATGTATCAAAAAGTAATTGTAATTCCATGTAATCATGCCATTGAAACAGAATTTGAAGGTCAAGTTCATAGATCTCATATAAGAAACAATATTAATCAGTTTACAACAGCATGTATCATTTAATCTTTTATGTGCAAAATCTAAAATAAATATAATAACTGTATATTTTAAGCAAAGATCACATTAATATCTTTAATAACCAATGATTTATAAAAAACAATGTATTAAAAATACAAGAGAACGTGGCATGATATATTTGTTATTATAATTATTTACTTGGTATTTTCCGACATCTATGAAACTTTAGAAAAATTCTTATCTTCGCGTAGTATTTGTTTATTCCATAAAATTATGACATTTCTTGGAATCTTCCAAATTTTTTTCCTGTCAATTGTGAATTAAATAGATATTTACCAAATTGTCTGTTCCCAATCTTGCATTTTATTTAATATATGATATGATAAGCGATATTATTTAAAGTTATAGCTTAGGTATCACTAACTGATCTATTTATAATTTTTACATTATGATTTATATGAGAGATATTTACGAGAAACATTTACTAAAAGAAAGGAACGCGTGACCATTACAAGATTTGTGTGATAGTAAAAGCGCAAATATCGTCTGTTATTCTCGGCCTCGTTTTGATAAATTTGTTTGTCGTGATAACGCATTGCCTCCATTCGCGAGAAATCTCCGTTTGTGGTCTTACGTCAGGCTAATAAAATCTTGAAAATTGAGGTTTTCAGTATTTTATCTATTAAATGATTCACAGCAATCCAATATGTTCACGCAATCAAATATGTTCACAAGAACAAATATAATTTGCAAAGAATAAATTGCAAAGAAATATTCACATGCACATTTTTGAAGCATATTTCCAATATTATTTAGACACGTTTTTAAACTTTCACATCGCTACAACTATCAGATGGATTAGATAGATCAAACTATGATTCCCGATACAGAATGCTACACAGAAAAGATAGCTCAGTATGTGTTCTTGGATCCAAGATAAGGTCGGGTAAGTTCGCGGTGGTCGAGCAACGTCAGGTCGAGTATCTCGAAGGCCGTCGATATGCCGCTCTTATTATATCGCGTGAAATAAAAAAATTAATCTTTCTCTCTCTCTCTCTATCCGTCTCTATCTCATTTTCTTACTCGCTCTTTCCCCGACCGAGCTTATAAAAGATATCCGTCGTCGCGCCAGAGACCAGTATCACTCTGACTTATTATTTCGGTGCGCAAAGTCGAAGGAATACACACGACGTATCACACGCAAATAACGGACACAAAGCGGAAGTCGCTCGTCGACAAATTAATAAAAACGTCGACTATAAAGACAAAGCTCTTTCTTAGTTTATGAATCTTACCGAGACTATTATTGTTGGCAGCTATATGAGGCTTGAGATTTTCCAGAGCGCCGAAACTCGAAAAGTTGCAAGGCGAGACAGGAAGACAGGAAGCACGTGGAAGACGAGCCTGTCGAGACAAAGACGATTCACCAAAAGACAGATAACGGAGTTGTTCTTCGAGAATTGCATCGGTCAGTAGGATTTACAAAAAAAATGTAAACCACATTTAGCGAAGAGAAAGCATCGTGTTTTGAACGCGCGTTTTGAGTGCATCATTAAGAGCATCGATAACGTCTTTTACAGTTCGTTTCAGTTGTGTCATCTGCGATTAAAGTGGAACAATCATATATTTTCGAATTTTCTAGAAAGAAAAAAGAAATACAAAGTGTACAAGTGCAATTAAAATAAACATATTTTATGTCAATGTAATCCTGGTTTTTCAATCTTTAGTATGAAACACAGAAATGCTTTAGCAATAATAGTAAAAGAAGCAGGCTTTTGCAATTATCGTTGGGAATAAAGATCAAAGCTATTAATGATAGCAAAGTGATTAACGCGGAAGGAATGATATGATTGAGACATAAATAACCATAGGGAATCGTAACACACGCGCATGTATATGTCGCACTGTCGTTATTTTGATTTCTTAGATGAATAAGTCTTTGATTCGTATTTCTTCTCTGTAGAGCATTTATTAATAGTGACTAAATTAATTAATGGAATAGTAGATTTCATAAGAAATTTAAAAGTAATAAACACGCATACACATGTGATATCTTTATTGTATTTTGGAAATGTAAAGATTAAGCTCTTTCGCTATTCTCTATTAAAAATTCTCACTTTATTCTGGTAAATACATGCATGGAAAAAAATAGACAACAGTCCAGAATAGCGGGGGGCAAACTACGGGATTCTAGTATAACAATATTTCTTTTGTCTATATTGCAGATTGTGAAAAAATGGCTGCTGTTCCGCAAAGTGCTTTCGCAGTGCGCAAAGTTCGTTGTAACAACGAGCGCGCTGTTTCAATGTCCGTGAAAGGGGAGAAAGGAAAGAACGAAGAGAAGAAGGAAAATATCTTTAATTCCCGGCCTCATTTAGAAGGTATAATTCTCGCATAGTTTTCGCAACGTCTTTTTTATCAATTTAATTTTAATAATCGGAAAGAAAAACGCTTTCGCACTCTTACCTAATTCAATCGATCTTGAAGCGAATCTTACGGAATACTTATCCGCAGGCTGGGAGCTGACGCCGCTCAAGTACAACAGCAAGCTGATGAATAGTATTTGGGGTCTATACAACCGCTACTCTGTCCACAACTTCAAGAAGAACACCGATGCCGAGGAGGGGGCCCGCGACGGGGTGGCCGCGGCGATCTGGGGCGCGATTCTGGAGAATCGTCCCCCGGCCGCCAATGCCGTTGCTACCACCATCGCGGATGGCCCCCAAATTATGAGGACCCGAAGTAGCCTCTAAACATAATGTGGCCACTTGAATGTGAAAAATCGCTTAAAGATAATAATCGACAAGTGATCATTATTGTAATACAATAAAAAATAAATAAATAAGCAAAATATTACCACGTTGTGTGTGTGACAGCACTATATTATTATTATAGTAATAGAGATAAATTAGAATGAAGTTATAAATTTATCATTTTTATCCCACAAAATGTATTCATCCACGCACACATCGATGAAATTTCAAATTACATACATCGAATTCTGTTGAAGGTTAACACCATCTGTTGGCAATAACACAAATTTCGTGACGTGCGTGATGTAGTCAGATGTCAGATGTGTGGTGTGAAATCGATCTTTTGATTTGTAAAAAGACCGATCGACGAGTCGCCCAGTGGCGCGTTTTATCTCGACTTTGATTTTTGACTTTTTTCAACATACGGGGTGATATCTAGTCAATAAAAAAAAGAAGAGAAGAAATGGCTCTTTACGATAACCAATACTGGCTTCTGTCGCACATCAGGGACAGCTTTCTCGCTATGGACGATACAGGTATGTTTCTGGTAAACATAGGTTAGAATATCAATATATTAATCCTGAAACACCCATTGCTTTCTGATTCTGCATATTTTTTGATAATAACAATTCTTGATAAAACATCGATGACGCGTTTATCTCAAATATTAATATATATATTCTTTTTGTTAAATAGTCAATAAATTGATTTAAAAAAAAAAACTTAAGATTCCCTGATATAATATTATTATGACACAATTACTAATATAATACATTAATAATAATTAAATAAATAAGATGAACATATTATGTTGATATTACTTTTGCTTGGAAGGTATGTGCGAAATAGTAATGCTTGGAGAAGATATTCCTAAGCAGTTGAAGGCAAATGGAACATTGCAGTGCTATCCTGGTATGGAGGATAGCGATGATGAAGATCTAGATGCCATGGCAGAATCATATGACGTACAAATGGGTACATATATATCCATTTTTTCTTATTTTATATAAAGGCACTTAAGTATCATAAAACTGAAATTAGAATTCAAGAATTAATTTAGTTCAAAATTATTCATCTAAAATTTTAACAGCATTATATTTTACTTTTAACATTTGTCTATATACACAAATTATATATATAATATAAAATAAATGTTTAAGCAATTATTTTTAATTAAATTTTTTAATAAATAATTCTTTTACTTGCAATGTTCTAGACATGGAATTCAGTCATAGACAGAGATCCAATACTGCACAGAGATTGGAAAAGATGGACATAGAAAGAAAAAAGGCTGCAAAAGTTAAACATGTCAAATGGGAGCACAATCTTAATGCTGTCACACCTACAGACCAATCGGAATTGTTCCAAAGAAAGGATTTTCGTAAAAAAGCACCTGTGAAAAAGGGACAATCTCTCTTGTCGGAACAACTCGAGAAGTGTCCAAATTTACCACAGAATTCATTCAAAGATTATGTCAAGTTTGACGGCAACGTATGTTCTATTGGATTTTCTCATTTTTCTGTTTTAATATACAAGCTTATTTCCAAACTGTTTCACAAAAACTTTTATGTCGAAAGTTTTTGTAACAAAAATAAAAATGTATTCAGAAATTT